ATTTTTGTCTGATTTTTTGTTAAATGTCTGAATCTTTTGTGAAATTTTGTCTAAATTCAGCTGTAGCCTGACAAAAGTGTCAGAACCCAACGATAGTCCAACAAAATTCTGTCTGAATGCAACTGTAACTTTTTGGTTTGAATTTTTGTAAAATGTCAGAATTTTTTGTAAAATTTTGTCTAAACTCAACTGTAGCCCAACAAAATTGTCTAAACCCAACTGTAATCCAACAAGATTCAGTCTAAACCCGACTCAGACGAGATAAAAGTCTGTCTGAATCTAACTATAGCCCAACAAAATTCTATCTGATTCTGACTGTAGCCGAACAAAATTCTGTCTGAATCTGACTGTAGCCCAACAAAATTCAGTCTGAATCCAAATATCTGAATTTTTTGTGAAACATCTGAATTTTTTGTACAATTGAATTTGACTGTAGCCTGACAAAACTATGCCTGATACCAACTATAGTCCCACAGAATTCACCCTGAATCCAAATTTAGGTACTAGAAGGGCTGTGAAAAACCCTAACTGTGAAAACTGAACCCTACCCAGGCTTTACAAATTAAAAATGATGTCAGAACATGACAAAACTGACAAATTCTGAACAGCTGAATTTGGTGTTTTGACAAAAATTTCAAGCTCTAATATGAATGCAAGCTTATTAGAATTCATTCTTACATTCCTAACAGTATACTGCATCGTCATTACCTGCGTCTCTCCCCTTGTCAACTTTAACAACAAAAACAATAAAAAGAAGAACAACAGCAACAACATATTCATAATCCAGACAAACAGCAGGCCTTTGTCCACTGAGTCGGAACCGTAACGCCATGCTCCGGCAGCTTCAGTATCTTCTGAGTAAATGTCCCTTAACTCATCCAGAGCAGAGCACGATGCATAGGCTGTAGCCCAATTTTACATGATGCAAAAGAGTCTCGGCATAAGGTTATGATCAAGCGCACCGGCCTCCCCTGGGCAATCGTCTAAATACCACGCGCTGTGATTTATGTGCATATACCACATGCAATGTGCAAAATTATGCATCAGGACACCGGGCACATTTCTTCTGTGAGCGGCTGCCGAGGGGCTTTGCCGCCACGACTCTGTGCAAGTGGGTGCTATCTTTTTTTCAAATCCTGCCCACCGTGCCGGATTCGATTGTGTGCAGAAATCTCTGGGTGTACGGAAGTGTATCAAAGGGCCGATGGCCTGGATGGACTGTACCTGTTACAATATTTACACCCCGGCCCTATCTCGGCGCAAAAAGAGAAAGAGAAAGCGAGGGAAGACGGCTCACTAAATAAATTCGCACGGCAGATACAGGCACGGTTTGCTCTGGAATTAAGTAGACCTCCGAAAGCCTCGGAAAGTTCCAGCTGCCGAAAAGCGAGATAAGACTTAGCATACAAATGAAACTGATGGGGTGTGTCTGGGATTCAAAAACAGGGCAAGGGAACGGAAAAGCTATCCCTTTTTGATCACATGAAGTCTGAATAAGGTTGGATGTGTGTGGCTGGCAGTGAACAGAGCCTTGTCTTCTCATGTAAAGTATAGGCATCCTGCCTCAGAGTAGGAAGAGCATAGACCCGAGCAGCTGGACGGGAGAGTAGGAACTTCAAACAGGGTTGTGAATATTAAAGGCGATAAAGTCAGCAGGAGGCCTTGACTGAAACGGTCCCCGGGTACGGTTCCGAGGAATAGCAGGATACACTGCAGTGTGGACCGTTTCAAATCATTACTAAACGTTTTGCTTTTAAAATAAAGATGTGAAATTAGATGACGAAACCACCATGGCTGCGACAAGCACAAACTGGCCTTCATTAATGAATGAATTCATTAGACTCGGCTCTGCACACAAGATGTATCGTTCATTGGTTTTCATTTATAAGAATTTAAAAACTTGGTTTGAAACAGTTAAGGCTACCACACACTGGACACACTGTGTAAAGTAGATATTACAAAGGACATTTATAGCACATGTAATTATATATAATAAAGTTTAAAACACATTTTACTTGTACAGATTTAATAACACCTTCAACATTACTTAGTGAATTGACAATGTTTAGTATCAGCTAAATAACAATTTAAGGTACGAGGTGAAATAAGAATGTAACTGGACTAGTAATGTTCGTTTAGGTAAGCTTAAATCATTTTTATTTAACTTCCTTTCTCTGTGAATTTCAAGCCATATGTCATCTACCATCAATTTCCGTGGGTTCATTAACAACATCTAAGAATCGTTTGGAGACAGATGACACCAATTGATCCAATTTTGAAGCATAATTTTTGTGCCATTCCTCCATTATACAACTCTTTAGCTTCGCAACCATACAGGCCTTTGTTGTTCTTTTTTGCAGTTCATAATGTGGCACACATTTTCAATGGGAGGTCAGTCTAGCCCACACTCTCTGATTACGCTGTCATGCCGTTGTATCATGACCAGAAATTGTCATAGACATAGAAATAAGCATAGACATCTTTGAAAAAGACTTCATCTAGAAGGCACCATAAGTCGCTCCAAAATGTGTAAAAATCTTTCAGCATTAACACCCCTACATCACACTTTTATACTTCACAGGGGTAACAATCTGGATGTTCATTTTCTTCTTTGGCATGCAAAACATTGTCTTTATTTCCATAAACAATCAAAAAAGGTTGACTCGTCAGACTACAATACATGTTTCCATTGTGCATCAGTCCATTTCAGATAAGCTTGAGCCCAGAGAAGTCAGCGGCGTTTCTGGACATTGTTGAGACTGTGCACATTGCAGTCTTAACTTGTATTTGTGGATGCAGCATTGTTCATGTTCATTAATGACGATTTGTGAAAGTGTGAAGAATGTTGTTCTTGGTCATAAAGAGCTAGACCTTTCTTGGATGCTCCTTTTATACCCAAGCATGATTACATCACCTGTTTAAGATTTTTCAAACATTTCTAACATCTCAATGTCTCAACTTTTTTTAGGTATCATTTTCAGAATTAGCATATATTTACAAAAAGTGAAGAAGCTGAAAAAAAGTAAGCCACATACATATCTTGTCTTTGGACTTCTTTCATTTATATACAGCTCAAAGTGGATTTACAAATCATTGCTTTCTGTTTTTATTTGCATTTCATACACTGTTCCAATGTTTGTAGAATTGAGGTTTGAACTTATATAACCAACTTAATGAGAGATATTTTTCTTTGAATTTTTCTTAATGCATTTTAGCTTTAACTGATGTTTTGCTCTGTCAGATTGTGTTTTGAATTGCTTTGTTGTTACTCGTTTGTTCTTAAAGGTATTTATTTTGTATTTTATTGTTCTCTTTTTATTTCATTGTATGGCTTACCAGGCCCCACTTTAAATGAGGTCTGGGTCTCAGCAGAGTAGTCTCTTTATATAAATAAATGAATTAATGTATTTGTTCATTCATGTATTCATCCCTTTTGGATGTGAAAAAAACTTGTTTGGTTAGGTCCATTTTTGCAGCAGGCTATGAAAGACAAAGGGTCATTAGAGGAGAAACTTTGGTGAGGTGTTGGGAGTAAACAACACTCCCTGCTAATCCTGCGCTAATCTATACAAACGAGTCCAGGTGGTGCCTGAAAGTGAGGGAGGGAATGGCTGGGTGGGGTGTTTGTGTTGTGGGTTCTGAAGCTTCATCCATTCTCGTTGGGAATTTCAGGAGTATTGACTTCCATGAGGCAGGCTATGCAGTTTTACCTAAGAAGTGATTTAAATGCAAATTATAAAACTTGATAGATGAAGAGGCTCTTTGTGGGCAAAACCAGTCAAGTGGTTTCCTGGAAAGACACTTAGGCCTGTACCTCATGGACGTACTGCAGCTTCTGAGTGGTCTTTGGTTTGTAGGGGCATTAGCTAACACAGCTACCCAGTACCCCAGACTACTGATGTGCCAGTTTTTTTTTTTTTAAATATATTAATGGATAATATGTCAACAAAGTAACTCAGAGTGGTTTGGTATGAAATGCTCTGTTCTAGAGAAACAGCATTTAGAATTGTACACAGTGTTGGTGTTAGGAACCAGACGTCCACCTCCAAAAGCTCCCTGACAGAAAGTTCTTACATGAAATGGTTATGAAAACACTGCCTGATTACTGAGACATTGTTTTATGATGCATTTGATAAGGTTTTGGCATAAAACATTTTTTAAATCCATTCATGGTGGAGGGACACATGCAGAGTGTTGTGAGGCAAAATAGTCCCCAAAGAAAACATACTTTTTTAGATTTACCACTATTTGACCATCATCCATATTATATATAAAAACTCATGAGACTCATGTAGGTTCACTGGTGGTTTTGGATAGTAAATAAAATGGCTATATTTGTGTTGTAGTCATGGCAACCCCTGGTTCCTATCACCACCACTGTAAAGAAATCAGTGTCTCTACCATCAACCATTTTACACCAAACCACTCTGAATGACCCTGTTTACTTACATCTCAACAATTGACCAGACCACAGCCATTCAGAAAATGTGGAGATTAGATTTGACCCCATCATTTGTTCAGAAGCAACTCATTCACAATAACTATTATCATGAATAAGTGCCATGCATTCAGTCTGCATTTGTCATGGGTGTTCATCTCCACTAGAGGGCGCTTGAGAGCGAGCCAAAATGAATAAGGGCTGGGATCCTTTTTGTTAAAAAAAAACCCTTCTATTCTTAATACAGAAGAACATAAGTATTTTAACAATGTGGTCATACCATATAATGGCACTATTTGGTCTGTACTTGATTAACGCTAGTCTTGTGAAGTCGGCAAAAACTAACAGAAGCCATGTTATGTTCTTCAGATCAGGAGTTATATGCAAGATAATGTTGGGAAAAAGAAACAATCATTCTTGTGTTTTATCCGATCGAATTAATAAACAATGAATAAACAGCGGCCTGGTTCTGGTGGTATCATCTCTGGCACTGTATTCAGTTCCCACTGCAGATTTCTCTGCAACAGTCCCTTATAACATAACAACACACTAGACAGCAAAATGTATGAAACCTGTTTATTAAAAACCTAATATAACAAAAAAACCCACTTAACAATAATCAATGGGTTAACATATGTACAATAGGCATAAAAATGTACAAAATGAACGTGTAGAAAACACAGTTACTTTAATTTATCTAGAACAAGCCTGTCTTTTTGTTAAGTTACATATTTTCCTGCAAGCTGTAAAGCTTCATTGATGAAGCCCTTACAGTATGCTAGTTTGATAAGTAGGCCTACGGTGATTCCAACATTATGCTACGCTTCCACTTGTTCTCAAGATGACTGAATCCTTTGCAGCGTTCTTTCAGTGAACTTGATTATAGCTTCTATAAACTATAAACTATGCTAAATGCTAACTAATTTGTGCAGCTAACCTACTTTTTGTATGTTAGCTTTGTTATGACATTGACTTCCAGTGAAGGCAAGACTAGTCAGCAACTAGCCTCAAGTTAACTACTTGGAGAAGCTTCCCAGATTACTTATGCTAAGCTTTGCTGTAGCATCTACTTCCAGTGAAGCTAAGGCCAGCTAGCAACTAGCTATGCTAAGCTTCCACTTTCTAGAGGAGCGAATCCTTTGAAACGTCCTTTAGGTCAACTTTCTTATAGCTATAACCCTCGTTATTAAGCTACATGCTAGCTAGTTTGTGTAGCTAACACACATTCTCTTTGTGGTAGATTAGTGGTGGCATCTACATCCAGTGAAGCAAAGGCTAGTTAGCAACTAGCCTCATGTCAACAACATTTCTGGAGAAGCGTGCTGGACAGTCACTGTCTAAAAACAGCATGAGAGCCGCAGCCATCGTTTAGAGCCATTTTGCATTAGCAGGCCTTTTGCGGGTTCCTTTCACCACTTCGGGAGGTCCGAGGAGAAGGAAATTAATGTTAGAGAGGGATGAGATAAATAAGTTAAAGTCTCTGAATGGTCTTCCCACAAACTCGGGAATATCTGAGCTTGGTCCAGGTCGTTAGAACCTGCAGCAGAATCCGCAGCCTTTGTTGTTGCAGCAGTTGCAGCAGTAGCGGCACAGGGAGAGGTGACTTTGGCGCTTTGTCCTGAACAGCACCTGGAAAAGGAGCAAAGCTATTAGTCAATTATTGCAGTTTTAAGACTTATTTACAGTTTCTGAGGTGCAGTCAAAGTGTTCAGCTTTCAACTAAGAGACTTTACCAAACACGATAAAGGAAAATTCCAACAATTCTTTTTAAAAAAAAAATACTTTTTTTTCCCCAGTTTTCTGTGTAAGAGGCTGAAGTTCTCAGTGGAAACACTTCACTACCCACAACAGTCAAACAAGCCAGGAGCAGTAAAATAGTCCCAGGCGAGGTTTGAGATTACATGGGTTCTTGTTCTTCTTCAAGTCTCACTTTACATTGGAATTAAATGCACAACTCTTGCAGGATGTTGCGTCACTGCAGAAGTGGTGTATCGTTTTCTAAAAGCAATGTTTCTGTGTCGTAATATGCCCTGTGGAAGCCTATGGGAGGTCATTTTTGTGCCGTATCTCACATTAGACGCACATATTTCACCAAAAAAGCAAAGGCAAAAAAGAGAAAAAGCACCGGGTTCCACTCAGAAGCGGATAGCACTTTATAACAACAGGCCCTTATAAAAAAACAACTTAATCATTATATAAAAGTCTGTTAATTAGTGTGAATTATTGTATAATAGTTACATAACATCACTGTTATGACTAAACCTTGTATCTCCTTGTAAACCTTGTAAAATGGTCAGGAGAAGGACAAATGTTCTTAACCTAGAATGGAAGTTAATATGACAAGATTTTTTTCCAAGTTCAAGATTTTTTCCAAGCGCTCTCTATTGGTCCATTAATCAGTCCATTAATAATCATTAATTGGACCCCCTATTATACAGTTGTATAAAGTAAACATATGTCAGACTATTTATACTCTAATATAGTACATTTATGCAAAGCATTTACAGTGCTTTAATTGTTTGTATGCTTAATAATTCGAGACAGAAATGTCAGAATTTTCCTTTAACTGTGATCTGATGAGATATGTGAAGGCCTCTAAAGCCACTGCCCACCTCTTCTGGCCGCGTCTCCTCCGCCGAAGCTGCAGTCCAGCGCTGTTCTTGCTGAGGAGCTTCATTTTCCATCTGCTGCTCGACCTGAGAGTGAAGATGAAGATGAGCATGTTAGTAAAAAAAATGGAACAGGCAATTATAGCTTTCACTCCAAGTCAGTGAGCACCAGCTTTGCTTGCTAATGCCTTCAGAAGCAGAGTTCTTTACTGGATGGATCAAGTGAGTTAAAGAGGAACTCCACTGATTTAAAAAAAAATCTACATAATTAAACGGCTGAGATGTAAACAAAGTTATTCAGAGTGGTTTGGTGTGAAATGCTCTGTTGTAAAGAAACCTGCAGAGTCAGAATTGTTCACAGTGGTGGTGATAGGAACCGGACGTCCACCTCTAAAAGCTCCCTCACAGAAAGTTATTACATGAAATGGTTATGTATACGCTGCCTGATGTCTGAGACACTGTTTTATGGTAGTTTTATGATCAATTTTTGGCTTGAAATGTATTTTAATCCACTTATTTTAATCCAGTCATGTCGGAGAGGTACATGCATAGCGTTATAAGGCAAAACAGTCCACAAAGGAAACTTATTCTTTCAGGTTTATGACTATGTTACCATCATCAGCATTACATATAAAGGCTCAGAAGACATGTGTAGGTTCACTGGTGGTTTTGGATAGTAAATAGAATGGCAATATTGTGTCCCCTTGTTCCTATCACCACCACTGTAAAGAGTCTCTACAAACCATTTCACACCAAACCACTCTGAATGACTCTGTTTACATTTCAAGGACTACCATTATTCAGAAATTTAGAAAAATTGGTGGAATTTCCCCTTAATGTTAGGTGAAAAGTTGAGTTTTCACAGTTTAATTTTACAATAATTTTCTTTACAACTTGCAATAACATCGTGTTTGTCTTCTTATGGTATGTATTAGCTTCTATGGTATGTATTAGCTACTAATAGACGCATAGCTACTGTGGTTTTACTGCTGTACATTTCCTTACAGCACTAACTAAGCTGTCAGAGTTTACTGTACAGTTCAGAGTCCAGCAGCAGGGCCACCGCTCTCACTGCTGATGACTGGACTACCTGTGGTCAAGTCAGGCTGAGTGAGACTCACCTCAGGCTGAGAGAAAGGCACAGCTTCACTCTGCAACACGCAGAGACAGGCGACGGCGGCCGCGACAGCGAGGGCGATGCTGATGGACTTCATTTCCCACAGTTCTTCAGTGACTCGTCTGATAAACGCGCAGCTGCGAGCTTTCAAGAACAGATGTGCTTTCCTTTTCCTTCGAGTGTCGGCGCTTCTTCAGGCAAAGGAGGGGATTTCTCTCTTTCTTAAGCTTTACTCTTCTGAGTTCTACCTGTGACTCGCGTGCTGTGCGGGTATTTATGCCCCCCTCAGTGTCCGCCACGCCCCCCCCGCACCGAGGCGACCTCTTCCCGCAAAGCTCTTACCCAATAGCCCCGGGGAATTCTGCTCACAGACTGCTGGAATTTCCACAGCTAAATTAAACATGAACAACTGGGATTATGAATTATATATACAATTCATATAATACTAGACTGAGGTGTCACATTCCACAATGCGCTATTATTATTATTATTAATAATAATAATAATAATAGCAGTAGTAGTAGTTACACTGCTGTGAAGAATCAGCATTTCTTGTTTCTTGTCGAGTTAGTACTAAAACATGTTTTGAAAATGTATTAATAAGTTCTGTCAGAAGGAACAATTAATACCTTATCTATCTATCTATCTATCTATCTATCTATCTATCTATCTATCTATATATATATATATATATATATATATATATATATATATATATATATATATATACATATTATATATATATATATACATAGAGAGTGAGAGAGAGAGAGCATTGTGTACTACTATATAATACTATATATCATTTTTTCTTAGCATTATATGTATATATATATATATATATATATATATATACATATATATATATATATATATATATATATATATATATATGTGTGTGTGTGTGTGTGTGTGGTTTTTTCCAGTTATAACTCTTTATATCATTAGAAATAATACCAAAAAAGAATAGATTTAAAAAGTAAGAGGAATTAAACATTATCATCAGCACATTGATAAACAGAAAATCAAAACTTATTGTATTAATGTTACTTGTATTTATTATCCACATGTGAAAAAAAGTGTGTGAATGCTTTTTTTCATTTGAATTTTGTTTTTTGGCTCCAGCAACTCAGCCAAGTCTGATCCCGGAGGAGCAGAGTTTTTCTCCTTGATTTGTATTTATTATAAAATTAGTGTTTTACTAAGCGAATAAGCTCTTACTGCTCAATTAAATCCTACATTCTTTTTGAATCTCATTTTCTCAAATGCCTAATGCCTTTACTCAGAGCTGTATAGCAATAAAAGGCACAGGAGAATCCACCTGCTGAATGTAAGACAGTGTGAAACTGAATACCTTTCAGTTTTTACGTTTTTACAAAGGACACTGAGTTCATTTGGCGCAACTTTACAGTTTTATCCTTGCTTGAGTTTAAATGATCCATTCCTACATGAAGCACTCGTTTGGGCAAAATTAGAACTTTATATTTTCATCATCTGTTCATTAAATTATAGAAAGTCTTTGTTCATTGCAGTATTTATACCAGGTTTTAGAATGCTGGCCATTAAAAACACAGTCAGTCAGGCTGCATTTGGAGATAAGCATACAATGTGCTTCAAACCCTCTACTGCATGATGTTGTCTCAGGGCAACAAACTCATTTTCCTTGCTTTATAATGACATGATACGTATTTACTGATCATGAAAGGGTTGATAGTTTGAACAAACCAGCAAATAGTGTGTCACATTACAATCTTTTAGACATTTTGAAACTTTTTTTGTTTTTGGGATGGTAGAGCTTTTGGACGACACACATTACTGCACCAGACAATCTCCCTTAGGAAAAAAAAAAACATTTTTTCATCAGTTCAATACGATGATTCACATCTATTAGAGTGTAAATTTAATTTACTGTCATTCACTACCATATGAACAATTTGTAGAAATGGTAGAAATATGTTTGTTGCCTAGAAGCAACATTGTGGAGTTGATTTGGCTAGTCATAAACTATGATTTAGCTAGTCATAAACAAAGTATCACAGCTGCAAACAAAGCAGCTATGTAAGTGAACATTGCAATCATTATGTATTTTTTCATTTAGAATTATGTCTTATTTAGAATGATTTGGCGGTTTTTATTTATTTAGGAAATTGGAAAGCATTTTATCATTATTTATTATTTAAAGAAGTGCAGCTTTTCATTTTTTTCCATTGTCACACAGTATTGCTTCAAGGCAACATACCTTAAAAAAGATCCATTCACACATTTTTGTTTGTTTTTTATATAAATGACCAAAAGTAGATAATAAATAAGTAAATAATTAAGAAGTGACTGATGGAAATGTTCAGTAACGTTGTTGTGGAGAGTCTCGGTGACGAGTGCTGAGTCATATGGAAGGATCTCTGAATAACACTGATGTTACAGTGTGTCTGAAGCGCCAGTCAGGAGAAGCTCTCCGCGTCAGCCTGTCTCATTCAGCGATAACCTTCTGCCACTACATATTGACTCTGGGGTGCTGACAAGTCAGAGTCAATAAATAGAACCACAAATGACTTCTGGTTGGATTCAAACATAGAGGTGTTCTATTAATTATACTTTCATAAGATGATTATCATATGATATCGAGTGATGGTATGTTGGGGGAAATTATCTCATCATTGATTACTTTGCTTGCAAAAATATTAAGAACATTGTGAGTTGCGGTATTGTGCAAAAGTTTAGGCACCTAAGTTCATTCTTTAAAGCCATTTATCTTGCCAATATGTGTGTGTTTTTTTTTGCACCATATTTCATGAGATTAAATGTAAATAAACAAATACAGTAAAAAAATAACAGGAATTTTTTCAAGTCTTTTGTGAGCTTGTCCCCAGCCATCCCTCATCATTGGCACGCTAAACATACTGAAGTACTCAACAGCGAAACCAGGGATCTGATGATAACTACAGTTAATACTGGGTTTTATCATAAACACATTAATACACATTGCTTATTGGATTCATTTTTTTGTATTTATTCTAATATTAGTGTTTTTTCTGAGCAAATAAACACTTACAGTCCAGATAAATAACTCTACTTTGACTAATTCCTGTATGTGCTTTTAAAAAAGATGGTTCTTCAAGGGTTCTTTAGTCAAGACAATGGTTCTTTACAGAACCATGAACACTCAAAGAAGCATTTGCATGCTTAAAAGCTTTTTTGCATGGTGAAACGGTTCTTCAGATTGATGGAGACTGTGTTGTATATGGTTCTATATAGAACCTTTTTGAAAAATGATGTCAAGGTTGTAACAATAGCAGAACCCTTTTTGGTGCTATATTAAACCATTTTCAAAGAGGTTCTCTGTAGAACCACATACATGTTCATTAATCTGAAGAACAATTTCAGCATACAAGTGGTTCTCTGAGTATTCAGGTTTCTATACAGAACCACTTTTTTTACTAAACTAGCCTTGAAGAACTATTTTTCTTAACAGTGTATGGAGACAATTTAGTTGTTTAAAGGTACAGTGTGTAAGATTTAGTGGCATCTAGTGGTGAGGTTGTAGATTGCAGATCATCTGAAACCCCTCCCTTTCCAAGCGTGCAGTAGAACCTACGATGACTATCATGTTTTCTGCTGTCGCCTGTCCCGTTTTAGTTTTCATTCTCACCTACTTTTTCTTGTGCTAGATAATAAGTATCATCCTCCATTTGTCAAAATTTGGGTTCTCAAACTTCTGACAACACAAAATGGTTAGCCAGCACTGGCAGCAACCACTGATTCCTCTTTTTTCTACGTCCTTCAAGAGGTACCACCAAATTCAAGCTCCGACCTCAACATAAAAATGTCAAAGACGCCCTCTAGAGTCAGTGTTTGGTTTGTCCATTCTTGGCTACTGTAGAAACATGGTAGCACAACATGGTGGCGCAACATGGTGACCTCTGCTAGAAAGAGATCCGCTCCCTATGTAGATATGAATGGCTCATTCTAAGCTAACGAAAACACAAACATTCATAGTTACGGGTGATTACACACTAGTGAAAACATGGTTTTGTAAAATATATCCCACTTCTGCTAAAAGATCCCTTTAAATTTTACACACTGCACCTTTAAAGATTCTATATCCACTGTATTTTGTTTGTTTTTCTTTTGTTACCTTTATTCTAGCATTTATTACATTTTGAATGGAGTGGGGTGCAAAGAAATGTAACCATAAGGGACCACAAATGTTCAGGAACAGCCTTTCCCAGAACTAGAGCTTTCCTAGTGGTATTTATTTGACATGGAATAAAATTCCATGGACATAAAATTAGTCATTATAACTAATATTAGTAACAGTATTTGGAGTGTTTTTTTGTAGATGATTAATAAACTCTTAACAGATTATCAGTAACACACTAACAACATATCAGTAAAGTAGCAGTAGTGAAGCATCTGAATACACTGAAGTAAATATCTTGTAGATGTTATGTAAATACATTACTTACATTTAGTAGATGTCTTGTTAATATGTTACTTCCATTATGCAAAACCTAATCTTACCCAAAACCTAATCCTAACCCTAACCTTAACCTCAACCCAAAACCTAATCCTAATCCTAACCCTCATATGTTGTTCATATGTTACTGAGAGTCTGTTTAGTTTCATCTAAAAAGGACCACTCAAAATGAAGTCACCCTAATATTTTTCATAATAAGACTATTGTATGAGTTGTATTGTATTGTATTGTAAGACTATTCCAGAACATAGTCAGTCATTCTTTTATGTTTTAAGTCAGTTTATTTAGTGAAATAAATTTCTTACTCCATTCCGGAAATCCATTACTCCAGACCGGAAGATAAGCAAAATGATCAGCCAATGGAATTACACTACTTGAAGTAAAATATCTATAATCTTACAATATTCCTACATCAGTCATAAGAAGCCATATTTGATATATTGACTAAACTGAAGATGATTTCACTTGCCAAGCTAACGTTAACTGTATTATTAATCCATAATCTATATTGTTAGGCTCACTACTCTGAAAATGCTGTTATTTGACTTAAGAGAGACCTTTTACAGAAACAGTATTTTTCTAGGACTGATTGGGGATTTCTGGGTGGCCTTTCTGAAAATCGTGGTCACTCTAAGCCGATTGTAAATGATAGAGCATCACTTTTGGGAAAGTATGTGTACTGTGCCAGTCAGGGTACAAGAAGTGCTTTTTTGCTGGTGTATTTATTTTATTGGACAAACAGAATGTTTTTCAGTGGCTAACTGGCTGGCCAAAGCTGATATGTGCAT